ATTTTCTTTAGAACATATCCTAGTCTAACAGCCATAAGTATCACATGTTTCATATAAGGAATTTCTGGACCACAGCGTATTTTGAGAGACACATCAAGAGTAAAGGAACATTGGGCCGGCCCAGTGGCGCGTTGGTTAAGAACTGGCTTGGGACGCCAGAGGGCCCTGGTTCGGATCGTAAAGGAACGTTAATGTAAGACTAATTGGACCCGGTTTGGGGGCATTTTGGCAAGGCTTAGGGTGAAGACAGCTGAAGTGACATCTCTGGGCTACACTGGGACACTTGGTATTTCCCCAGTGCACCACGTGACCTCAGGCCTCTGTGGATGCTTAGGCTGGGACCTCTTCCTGAAGTGTCACCCCATCACTTGTCCCAGTGACATTCTATTCCTATTTCAAGGCCACATTCTCTCCAAACACTTCCTTCCTGAAGCACCTTTCCATGGCACCCACTTGTCTAAGCTTCTCTTCTAGCAGTTATTACATGTTTTTATTACCGCTCTGGGCTTATGTCTATCTGCCTTCTATAAATTCCTTGAGGACAGGTATTGCCATTTTGTTTTAATATGCCTAAAATCAGTATACTCAATATCTGCTACTTGAAGGTGCTTAATAAATATTTGTTGAATGAGCAAATGAATTGATGAATATGTTTTATTATTATTTGTCTTAATCTGAAGTTCTAATAAAGCAAATTGTTCTTAGAAAACTGAGTTAGCTTATATTTGCAAGCCACATTTACACGTAGATGTTGTCTAATATTTTGACTTTCATAAGTAATGATTTTGTGATTTATTTAAAATAATTATGTATGTAGGAGTGTATAGGATTTAGCAAGAAAACACTTATCTGGGGTGCTCTTTGGTTTTGGACTCAGTATTTTGTGGGTTATTTATTTCTCATGATGAACTGCCAAGAGAAAATACCATTTGCTTAGGAAAAGTGGGCTGGTTTAATTTGTCATCTCAGTGTTATCATAGCCCTGATTTCAGGAAAAAAAGGGAATTCAAAAGTTAAAAATGTAATATAAAGTTATTTTATCTTTCATGGATTCTGGGACAAGTTAATCAAGATTCCTAACTCTGATAAGTTTATTCTTGAAATACTTGCAGCCTTGCCTCTTGTAGAAGACTTTGCACATTAATCATGATGCTCAGTAAAATGTCATGTGGCTAAAATATTTAGTAAATCTCATCTGCTAACCTAAGAAGTAATGATATCATCTCAGTCACTGGTCATAAATTAGACATATTGGTTTTTCTCTAAAGTCATTTCATATTAGCCAATATGTATTATTTGCTATGTGCAAAATAATTCATTTTACAAGTAATTTACTGAGGACCTACCATGTGCCAGAAGCTCTGTGTTACTTAACTCAGGAAATACAGGATGAAGGAGACACAGCCTTTACCCACAGTGAACTTGTAGGCTGTTAGGGAGATTAGACATCGCATGTTCTATAAGACAGACACTGAACCTGGTTGGGAGAAACAGGGAGGACATCTTGAAACAGGTAGCATATGACCTGGATAAGATTTCAGTAGATGGATTGTATTAATTAGACTTTCTCCAACTATAAGAAGCAGACATGTGCTGTCTCTCCAGCTACCTCAGTTAATGAGGTTTACTGTAAGGCTCCACAGGAAGTAGGAAGGGCCAGAAAGCGAGCTCAGCAGCCACCCAGGCAGGCCTCCTGGAGAGTCCAACACAAACTCTGGTAGCGTGAGAGCTCCTTTATTGTCTCACTAGACGTGAACGTCTGCTGTTTCTTTACCTGTTCTCTGCACTGTGGTCACTCAGCCCTCCTGTGTCTTTGCCTCCACAGCAAAGGTGTATATGTATCCCCATTTCATTCCTCAAGAGGGCTCGGTTCATCTCTATTCTACAATCAGCACCCTGCTGCACAAAGCTCATGCCAGCCACCTCACAGACTGCTTCCCAGCCAGTGGGTACATGTTTTTGGCTTAGGGGCTCATCCCTGGTATAAATCAGTCATGGCGAGGGAGATGGAGTCCCATGGTATAGAGCAGTGCTTCTCAAACTTCAGCATGTCTATGAATCACCTGGGGACCTTGTGAAAATGCAGACTGATTCAGTAGGTCTGGGGTGTGACGTGAGTTCTTTGTGTCTGATAAGCCCCCAGGTGACGCTGATGTTGCTACTCCTACGACCACACTTTGAATAGCAAGGACAGAACTGGTGACCTCTGTGTGAATATAATGACTCAGAAGGCAGGCGCTCCGTGTGGGAGGTCTGTGGTTGTGAGAGAGCATTTCACGTGGAGGAATAAATATAAATAAAGGGGTGGAGGAAGCTGCCCTACTGATGTCTCTGTGTGTTTTATATAAGGCCAATTTTGAATATGGTCCAAGGTCTGAATGAAGAAGGCATCTTCAGACCAAAAAGTTAGTACTTAGACAATTCAAAGGCAGTCTCTGAATAACAAGGTTATCAGGTAAGCTATTAGTCCTTGTATTATTTTAATCCAAAGCAAAGCAATAGTTGTTTTAATGTTTTCAGTGAGAAGCAATAAGCAGTTGGGTCTGAATTTAAACTATTCATCTTCACATGAGAGTTTGCTGCAAAACTCTTCTCACAGTTTGCCACCAAGGCTGTGTTGCTGGGGTGGACAGGCTCTGCAGTGGGACCCGGTTGTTTATTATGAGAAGTGGAGAGCCAGAGCCCTGGGTATGGACACCAAGTATCGGATTTGGTTTTAATTTTTTTTACCATTCTAGTATACTTTAGGAAAATCACACATTTCTGTTGTCTTCATTAGAGATCCATAGATGTGATAGTTCAGAACTTGGTCACAAAGATCCTTGAACCATTATAGTGTCTGACATCCATAGAGTTAATATCAGTTTCAAAGCACCGATACATGCATTCTTCTCTTCATTTTGTAAATATAATCTAAGACTGGCTGATTAAAAATCAAAGAGTTTTGGTTTTTTGACGATGCTAGTGTCTAGTAATTTAGAATTATGAATAATGTCTAAAAGAAGAGAAATTAATTAAGTATTCAGACCTTCCTGACATGGCAGATGATGGTTCACCCATCTTCACCCCAAGTATCCTGACGTCTTTTCCATTTCATTCATTACGTTTGAAAATTACAATCACTTAAGCGCCATGTAATATTTATGTCTATTTTTCATGCTTCAAAGACACTGGGAATGATCGTTTTATAGTCTTTTATTACCTAGAGGTCAACTACTTGAGCTCAGTCTTACTGTAAAAATGACTTATTTTCCCCTTAAATATCAGAAAAGGCAAAAATGGTTATTTTAAGTGAATGACTAGTAATGTCCCTTAAAAACTAAAAAATAAATTAAAAGAAAACAAAGATTATCCTAATTTATGTGAGTAAAATCTTGCAAAAGATTTTCAGAGTTCACTTTATGTTGATGATCGTGTAAACTTCTGACTTACTGAATAGTTTGACCACATGACCTTCTTTGACATCTACATTTTGGTCTCCAATTGTCAAAGAAAGAATGCTGTTTAGAATAAGGAAGGGTTTTGGCACAGTGAAATGAATGCTGGCTGTGAGCCTGACAAACTTTGTTTAAATGTATTCTTAACACATACTTGCTGTGCTACTTTCAGCAAGTTTTTTAATCTCTGTGAGCCTTAGTTTCCTCATCTGTAAACTTGTGATGTTTATATCTATTTTGCAGCATTATTTTGTTGATAAAATTGAGTAATGCATGTAATACAGCAGTATAAACACTACCATATAACACAATTTCAACAAATAAATAAACATGAAGGTTTCAAATTATTTATGACAAAATATTGTTTTGATATAAATTAAAAGCAAAAGTACTTTTGTTACTTCGTATTTGGATAGGAAGAGCATTATCTATTCTTGACATAAGTGAAAACTGCAGGGCTTTGAGTTATAAATGGAAGAGCTGTTATTATAATTGCCACTCAGTTAATGTATATATTAGGACCACCATTGCCAAAAAAAGTAGTTTTCCAAAAAAAGTAAGTAGTGATGTGTAGGTTACCAAAAGAAATTCTAACTGACTTCAAAATGTAGTCAGTAAATTCACTCATACTACCGTTAAGTAATATGCAACAGCATGGAGAAGAATAGTCAGTTATCAATGTTGTTCATAGTGAGATTTTATTAATTCACTTTAATCAAACAGGGCTAGGAAAATCAAGTTATGCCCATATGTTTTTAGAGAGGGAGGACCAGAAATACTGTGTGGTAATGGAATACTCCACTGTCATTCAAAATAAAGGAAGTCAGATAAAATTTCTCCCATGTCAAGTGGAAGAAAAATATTTTCAATGACCATTCAAACACATTCACATACACCACCACACAATGAGAACAAAAACACATCTTTCCGATGGTTTCCTGGGTACAGGCCACAGAGCCACCATACTGATAGATTTCTAATAGGATCCTTTGTATCATTTTTTATAATTAACCTCTCTTAGATTAATACCAAACCAGGGCTATCCATTATTTCACATGGTGCTTCATGGCAGATGCCAGTATAGCAGTTGACTTTCCAGTGTGTTATATTTTTGAAGCACCTGTGGGGTTTTGATTTTATAAAAGTGAATGAAGCCACTGATAAGAAGAACAATGGAAATGCCTGGGAAATTGGTTCAAGGGGAATGCGAATTTAAGAGAGTGGGGATTTTCGGCACCATGAGCCACAGGTTTTACTCTGTGTTTCAATCTCGTAGACTTTCTTCAGGCCAAATTGGTTTGCCGAGTGTCCCAGTGTTTCATTCCAGTATATATAGTCTACAAACAGCCAAATCATCCATGCCAAAGCAATTCTTTCCTCCTTTCATAATAGAATAGTCATATTTTATTATAGGTTAGGTCTTGTAGAGGGGGAGATATTTTTAAATATGGACAAATGATAACCTTTTAGGTAATTTCCCCAAGCATCACCATTCTTATCCTTTAGTCACTTTCAATATTTCTACAAATATTGAAGTACTTAATACTACTTTTCCTCACACAGATCCAGTGCCCCACTTGCCAATTCATCTGGTGTTTTAAGTGCCACTCTCCTTGGCATGAAGGTGTTAACTGCAAGGAGTACAAAAAAGGAGACAAATTGTTGCGTCACTGGGCCAGCGAAATTGAGCATGGGCAGAGGAATGCCCAGAAGTGTCCCAAATGCAAGGTGAGATGACCTTTAGGAGGAAAGGACAGAAACGCATGTATCTGAATATCATTGAACAATCATATTACAATATCGAAGTAAATCAAATGAATAACTTTCTTAATGCAGGTATGGAGAGAAAGAGTATTTGCTGTTTCATCTTTGAAGAGTAACTAAATTGAAGACTTGATAGAAAAGCAATGCATTTCCTTGTTTATATTACATTTCAACATTTAAGGAGGCTACCTATAAATATTGATTTTAAACTTCTAAATTCTTATTTTCCATTTAAAAGTGGAAATGTGTATACAGGGAGAAGCTAGTGTGAAAATGATATAAAAGTATTATTTCCACTTTGCGACTTGTAGTCTAACCACTTCCATTAGGCAGGCTCTGAATCCTTGCAATCCTTGGCTTTTCTTTCCCTCTGACGTTGCTTATCACTTTAGGATTACATTAAACTGATCCTTTGCTTTTTGTAAACGTAGTGAAGTAAAAGCTAATGGCTAAAATCAGGGCTTAGGAATTTTATCAATTCTGTTTTTCATTTTTCTTTTGATAATCATGCAGGTATCAAGAGTTAGCAGGCATTTGAGCTTCAACCTAGATGTTGAAAGTCAGCTATGCAAATAGCCCGGAAAGAGTCTCCTATAGAGAAATCAACAAATCCAGTCAGAAAACTTTGCATTTGATGCTTACAGGATAGGAATTGTCAAAATTCAAAGGTTTTTTTTTAAAGCTCACTTCAGAAAAGTAGACACTATATGTATATGTGTACTCTCCCATAGGTGGGTTCTACTTTTTGCCAATTTTTGGAAATTATGTCTAAATTGGGCCTTATTTTCTTTTAAGAAAAATTCTGCAATTCCTTCCTGGAGATTTAGCACCAGATAAATTAAATCTGAATTATCAGAAAAGTTTTCAAATTAATCGTGAATTCCACTTGGAGTAATAAAAGTATATCTGAAACTGATTAATGAGCATAAACATATTACACAGATTCACGATGCCAAATTCACATATTGGTTTAGACATATAGTAAGTAAAACCATTGCCTGAAATAGCAATTCGCATTCTTGGTAATTGTAAAAAATTTTTGAAATACTTTAGATGACCTGGCTCTCTTAACAATGAGATCTAAAGATGTTTGCAATCTCTTAACAATGAGATCTAAAGATGTTTGCAATAAAGCCCTCTTTGTTTTCCCTGTAGAAGGCAAATTTGTCTGCAATGATCCTTTTGATTTTAGGGGCTGCTTCACATCTCCGCATTCAATAGCTCAGTACATATTAATATTTATTCCTCATTCACTGATGAACAATGAGAAAGTAAGGCCTTTCTTCCCCCTTTCTGTTGTTGCCTTTTCAATTTATTCAAAGCTGCTGCTCAGTTTTAAACTAAATAAAGGCCAGTAGGAGTTTAGGAGTGCTGTTAAGTCATTCTACTGAACATTTCGTACCTAAGTATACTTTCCATCTCTCTGGAAAGCTGTGAAAACAATTACCAGTTACCCTAGCTGTAAGACATTATGCTGAATGAGCAATACTGCAGCATTTTACACAGGGGAAATCCTGAATGAATTGAGGTAATACATAAAAAGGTACATTTGTTACTGTAATCTCACCATCTAACAGTAAATGGACCTAATGTATAGAAAGAAAAATCAGCCAACTGTCAGGGCTTTACTGAATGCTAAAAACTTCCTCCAGTTTTAACAAATAGAAAGAGTTACGAGAAAAGCATACATGCTGATTCCCTTTGGAAGTAATAGCTAAAAGCTTCGAGCTTTAAAAGGAATTACCTTTTACAGAGCTGAAAGGCAAGAGCCACGGGAGATGGAATCAGGTTATATGACTCCCTTGTAGGAGAGAATCTACTTTCTGGGGAGATTTAAGTTCCATAAAATTTATGTCAGTTTAAGTCATATTTTCTGACTTGTTTTTAATACAAATGGTTTCAGATTTCTTTCAAGCATATGAATTTAAAGCTTTGCATTTTCTTAATTGTGATTTTTTTTTTCTTGGACTTTAAAATTATATTTTCACCCATGAAATATTTCTATTCTTATAATAGAAATCATGAGGAGATATTACTCAATGAATTAATATTTATTTTATAGTCCAAGGCTTTATTTTCATAAATAATCCTTTTACATTTGTACATATAAAAAAGGAAGATGCTAGGAGTTTGTGGAAAAAAAAATTTCATGCAATGTTTCCAGGTAAACAAAACAATGATTATATATTTTCACATGAATATGTTTTCAATAGTGATCGTCAAGTGTATTTAAAAATTTTTGGTGACTAAAGTTTATTTATATTTTTATATCATGCATAGGTGTATTTGTTTAGATTAATTCATAATTTCAATAATAATTTTGATTTTTAAATGATTGTTTCATTTATAAAGGTCATATAACATATAATAGAAATTTGGAAAAGAGAGGGAAAAAATTTATCCAGAATCCTGCAACTCCAATATTCTCACTCACTATTAACATATTTAGTGTGTCTTCTCAGCCATTCCTCTATTTCAGTAACTTATTTTTTTAAGTTTTAATTGTACTGTGCAGATAATTTGATATCCTTTGTTTTTTCACTTAATATGTCAAACCTTTCTCATGTTACTAAGTAGTGTTCATAACATTTATTTTATTAATAATGTAATATTTGCTTAACTATCCTTCCGCTATTGGATACCAAAACTGACTTTGTTTGGGTTGGAATTTTTTAAAAATATAGCTATATGTTATATATAGTGTGTTGACGATACTCATCTTGAATATATCTTTTCTCCATATTTTGGATCTTTAAAAGCAGGTATTTCTAAAGGTAGAATCACCAGGTCAAAGGATATCAATGTTTTAACATTTTGTACAGATTTACAATTTGCTTTCTAAAATGATTGGAACAATTTATAATTACATCACAAACACTGGAGACACTGTTCCTCTATGAGCATTTCGTATTAGCATTTTAGGTATTCATAAAGTGCTAATTTAAAAGTTTAAAAATATTTTGATCTTATGTTTTGTATTTCCTTGTTTGCTGTTAGATTAAATATACCGTATTTGCCGGCGTATAAGACGACTGGGCGTATAAGACGACCCCCTAACATTTCCACTCAAAATACAGAGTTTGTTATATGGTCGGCTGTGTGCGATTTTGCGAGTGTGGTAAAATCGCATAACAGCAAAATTGCATAACAGCCGAGCATACACCCAGCAGCGCTGCTGATGCCTGAACGGTATGTGGAATGAAGTGGGCGGGCATCGGGAGGCCACTATGGCACGGGGCAAGCACTATGGGCAGTCTATCTGAAGTGTACCTGGCGTATAAGACGACCCCCCACTTGGAGGCATATTTTTCAGGGCCAAAAAGTCGTCTTATACGCCAGCAAATACGGTAAATTCATGTATTTTTGAGTTGTAATGCCCCTTTTTGAATTTTTTGTTTATATTCTTTGCCCATTTGTTTGGGTCAGGTTGGGGCATATTTTTTATTACATATTTATAAAGAGCTCTTTATTTAAAAATATTAACTTAGTTTCTAGAATATTTTCTCTTCTATCTACTATTACACTCTTTTTGTATTGGTGATAGTTTTTTGTTTTGTTTTGTTTTGTTTACTTAATTGGTTTGTATGTGTGTGTGTATTTTCTTTTAATTTTTAAAAATTTGTTTGACCAAATATATCATTCTTTTTTTGTTTTGGATGGGTACACACACACATACACACATAATTTACACACACATATATATTGTATATAATATATATATAATTTACACATACATATGTATGTGAATTTGAAAATAAAATGTGTATACATATTTATATATTTACATATATTTTGTAAATATTTTGCTCCTAATCTTAAAACTTTATTTATCAGCCAGAAGTTTGATGAAATGGTCTGTTTTCTTTCTTTCAACTATTCAATTTCTAAATATTTTTAACTGTTTAACCCACCCATACCTATTTTGATATTTATTATGCATTAGCTAACTAAACTAATTTTTCCAAATTGAGACCATCTATTATCCAACCTAGTTGTGTTTATCAAATAATTCTCCCATACCCGTTTATTTGTAATTTTTTTCTAAACATGTTAAATTAATATAGATAATAGTTCTTTTTTGAGCTCCCTAATCTTGTTACTGCCAATTTTTCAAGAAAGTTTTGTGCTTGTCCTGGTAAGTGTTAAATTATCTTGCTTTTGTACCCTGCATAGATATATTTGCCCATTCAGACAAAGTTTGATAACCTATTATTCATTATTTTAATTAGTATTACAAATAAACCAACTTTTCTTTCATTTGCCTATAAATGTTATTTCTCCTGTAATAAGTTTTTACTTTTTTCTCAAGTGGAAAGATCAGTTTAATACATGGTATAGTATTACAAAGAGATTAATGCTGAGAAATCAAAATTGTTATTTTTAATTGAATTGTGGCAAATAACCAGGATGAGTATTAATTTTTTTCCCAAAAAATATCATCAAGATACTTACATACATGTGATTTTTTTTTAATACCAAGGTAAAAATATGAAACGCTTTAGGAAGTTATTTATTTATAGGACACTTTTATAAAAGCTAATTGCTTAATAAAATCGTCTTTTACTTAGTCATTTTTATTTGACTCTCACTGCTTCTTAATCAGTCACTTATGAGACACCATTTTTTATCTTAAATATGTGTTTTCTATCTTATATAAATTCTTAACCTGCAGAAAATATATGCTAATTTTAAAATGCCTTTCTTGAACATAGTTGCCACAAAATTGCATCTAATGCATGACCCTTTTAACTTTAAATAAAGTAATAGATTTAAATTGTGTTGGAGGTATTAGAATATTTGTTCAGTTTCATGTAAAAATCTATTTTGACACTATGTCTTATAGCACAGATCAGATACTAAACTCTGAGTTAGTAAGAAAAAGAACTGCTAAGTCAAAGAAAATGAAAAGTTAGATGTATACCTAAAAATTAACAAACATAGAATTATACAACACAAAACAAATC